ACGGCCCAAGTGCCCCCGAAGATCGCCCAAAAGGCCCAAGACACGGCCCCAAAAGGCCCCCAAGACGGCCCAAGAGGCCTCCGAGACGCTCAAAATGTCCTCCAAGACGGCCCAAGAACTTTCCAAGACGTCCCCCAAGAAGGCCCGAAAGGGTCACAATGGCCTCCAGACGGCCAAGATGACCTTCAAGATGCCCACGTGTTCCCCGAAGTCTTTCCAAACCGACTCGGGGAACACATGGTCCGATAGCTTGGCAGGTCTGGCCTCAACGTTCGGCCACATAGGCGCTTCAAAAAATGCAGGGGGCGGCGGTGATTCGCCGCAGGCGTCTTCGATCCGCCGCCCCCTGTCGATTCATCGCACGGGTGCCTGGCGTGCTAGACTTCTCTGGTTTTTGTTTTGGTTCTTTTCCATGAGAACTCCCCCTGGGGCTCCGGCGCGTCCCGCTGGCCACCCGGAAGGATGCCGAAAATTTGCCCCGAGGTGGTTGCAACGGGTTTTTTTCGTTCCAGACGGACCAAGATAGCCCAAGATGGCCTCCAAGACGGCCAAGATGGCCTCCAAGACGGCTAAGATGGCCCCAAGATGTCTCCAAGACGGCCCAAGATGCACCCAAGACGGCCTAAGATGGCCTCAGGATGGCCCAAAACGGCCCAAGAGGTTCCCAAGAGGCCTCCACGCGGCCCAAAAGGCCTCCAAGAGGTCCTCCAGGAAGACCCGAAGATGCCACAATCATTGATCCTGGGGCCCTCTGAAGCCGCTTTACAAGAGCCCTGGGCTTTCTCTTTTTCTCATGCAAGAAGAGCGGCCGCCTCGTGGCCGACAGTGACTCTCTCTGCGACGCTGACTTCAAAGGTCAAGGATACAGCTAGATCGACCCGCAAGCATCGCAACTCTGGAAACTCAAGAGGCGCCTCGAGCGCCTACGGTGCGAGATCACACACTCAGAGAATATGACAAGGGAGGTGGAGGGGACGCAAGCAGGAGAAGCTTGAGCCAGAACAGATACGGCCGCATCTGTGCTGTGAAATGAAACGGTACGCTGAGAACGAGGGCCAACAACACACATCTTAACTATTACGATTCTGGGGCCCTCCGAAGCCGCTTTACCAGAGCCCTTGGCCTTCTCTTTTTCTCATGCAAGAAGAGCGGCCGCCTCGCGGCCGACAGTGGCTCTCTCTGCGACGCTGACTTTAAAGGTCAAGGACGCAGCTGGATCGATCAGCAAGCCTCGCAACTCTGGAAACTCAAGAGGCGCCTCGAGCGCCTACGGTGCGATATCAGATCGCACACCCTTACCCCCGAAGCCCCTTTTGGGTCTGGGAGCCGCAGCTGCCGGCAAGAACTTGCAGGGCGCTGGCTTCCGCAACTGTCGGAGCGAGTGCGAAAGGGCCTGAAGTAAAGAGGAGGCCGCACGCTTTTGCGCTCTGCTGCTGACCTCGGCTCATCTTAGACAATTGCTTGAGCAGGTCAGCTGACTTTTCATATCTGGTGACAGATCTGAAGGCTGCCCATCGGCCGCTCTGAATGGCGAGGAGATCCAAGGCCTTATTGAAACGATCGATGGAAGGGCCAGAATGACGCAGCCAGTGGGGCGATCCGCCCAAAGTAGAGAGGTCGAGGCGTGTCAGGACGCGGCCGAAACTCTTTTCATACTGAGACAGGGTGAAAGGGAAAAGGCGGCAACTGGGCTCAGTGCATCGGGCCAGCGTTGCGGCCGCGTCCTTGACCCAGCCCCGTCCGGCCACGCCGACCTCCACTGCGTCGTCAAAGATGCCCGTCTTGTTCGGGCACCCGCGGTCGCCTGGGGCGAGGTGGAGCGCGACCTCCCCGGCGTACTCGGCCCCAGCGTCGGCGCAGCCGACCAGCGCGTCTTCGGGCCTGAGCGCCAGCGCCTCCGAGGGCCGGAGGTAGCAGTCCGTCTGGATCGCCGCGACTGCCGCCAGCCTCGGCTCGCCGTCGGCAAGGAAAGCCTCCGCGAGCTGCCGTCACACTGAGAGCGGGTAGGGCATGCCCACGGCCCCCGGGTCGCCCTTGCACCAGCCTTTGAGCTGCCGAAGGGCTCGTGGGAGCCGCACCTGGCCGACTCCAGACTCGCGGTTGCCCCCGCGTAGCAGCAGGCACCCGAAGAGCCCGTTGCGACCAGAAGCCGGCCCCAGCCCGGCGGCGTGCAGCTCCGTCATGGATCCAGCCAACGAGGTTGGCATCTACATTGACCAAGTTGTGGTTCTGGCGCCCGTTCAGTCGGCGCCATGACTCAAATTCATCAACTTCTTTCTTGTACAGCGCGAGGGTAGCCTCCGACGCGCCCTTCAGCTCGAGTTAGCCTGCCCGCGAGCGACCTGCGGCGGCTGCGTGGCGGGCCCGGGCGGCGGCCTTGGCGACAGGCGCGTGCCGTCGACGGGCGGCCGGCGCCCGGCTGCTACCAGCTCGGCGGGTCGAGACCTTCCGCTCGACCGCGCTGGTGTTCCGGAAGAGGACACCGTGCTCCGCGAGGTAGCGGCCGGCCAGGGCAAAGCTCGCGTCGCCGCCCGCTGCCGTGTCAGCTGGCCGAGCATCGCCCTCAGCGGCGCCGCGACGACGTCGCGGTACCGGGGCCTCCAGCTCGCCAGCCCATGCCCCCACAAACGGCGGAGAGGCGCCGAAAGCCGTGGCGGGGGCCGCCTTGGCCAGGCACGCAGCCCAGCTCGAGCGGAGAGCCGACGGATATGCCCCCGCCAGCTCTGTCAGGCGAACCCATCTGACCTTTCCCCGATCATCTGCGACTTTAACTCGAGAGAGGTGTGTGCGCACTCCGCCGCCAGCGATGCCAGCGCGGGCGCGTTGGTCAGCAGCGCCGCCCACTTCTGGCGCGGGACCCCGTAGGTGCACATCGAGAACTTCACCCAGCGAGCCCCAGCCAGCCCAGCCAGGCCCCCGACCAGAGGGAAGCTCCACAACCCCGACGACGCAGGATTCTCGATTGACCACAGGACGTTGCACCTCTGACAAGCACGGACCACCGCGCTCGTGAACAACGCAAACTCTACCCCAAACCGCTCCGTAGCTCGAGCACGTTTGAGGTCCCTCACGCCCTTTCTGGCTATACTCCAGGAACTACAAGGTGTACCCAAGTGAACTCCCCAGACTTTTCCAGATCGTAACCACTTCAGAACCAGTAACTGGGTTGCCCGACGAGATAGATCATACTGAGCGCCCTTACGGATGTCGAACGAGAAGCCCACGCGTAGGCCCGCAGATACAAGCGCCCGACAGAGGCCCCCAGTGCCCGAGAAGAGCTCCAAGAAGACTTTTGCCGACTCTGGCTCGCGAGCATGTCCGGCCTCGGCCGACGCTGAGCGGCCCCCAACGCTGCGCTCGAGAGCTGTCTCGGCCCGCAGCGCGCGGAGACCAGCTGGACTGGAACGTCTGGAAGACGCGGAGGAGGGGATGTGGGAAGTCTCGTGCTCGTGCTCTGTAGGCTCTGAGGTCGTACTCGGTAGATTCGAGGGGGCTGGAGGAGGGCGCGCAGGCTCCCAGGGCGCCACTGCCTGGCGGCGGGCCTTCGCCGCGCACAGCCACTTGGGCTCGGGTGGCTCGTGCAGCCTCGAGCCGTAGTCGGCCGCGCAGAGGTCGGTCGGAACGTGGCGGACCCGCCGCCGAATCCCGAACCCAGCGCGTAGCCGGCGGCCCGCCTGCACTGCGCGTTCAGCGCCCTGGAGGTCGAGCGTCCCTTGTCGAGGCAGCAGCACGCCACCATGTTGTCGCACAGCGAGAGGACCCGACGACCGTGATGCCGAGGGTCCCGACAGCTCCTGCGCAGCCCCATGACACACGCCCTCGCCTCCTTGATATCGATGTGTTCCTCTGGGTGCTGCCGCCGCCCGGCCACCGCGCGCCGCCGACCCTCGTCGCGCGTCAGCGCCGCGGGTAGCTTCGGGGCCACGTTCAGGAGCTCGACCTCTTGGCGGTGCCCGCCGCCCACGGCGCTGCAGCCTTGCCGACGCCGAGCCTGGCCGACCTCGCAGAAGGCGAGCTGGCCCAGCTCGGTCCTGCGACCGTCGACCGTCCGGCACGCAGCTGCACGTCAGCGAATTTCGGGATCTCCAGCTCGTCGTCTGCTGGAAGGCCCCGCAGCTGCGCCAGGTAGGCGCTGGTGTAGTGGGCGTCGTCACACTCCGCCTCCACCTCCACGAAGCGCCACTGCTCCCGCCAACGCCAGGCGCCCCGGACCGCCCGAGTCGGCTTCCGCCCGTACATCAGGCAGCAGCCGCCCGTCGATGGGTCGGAGACGTGCACCTCGTCGTCGTAGGAAGCCGCCAGGTTGACGCCCCCCAAGAAGACCAGCGCGGCGGCCAGGCGCAGCTCGAGCCGAACTCCGCGAGGCAGAAGGCGTCGAGCACCGAGGCCCTATAGGTGTACGTGTCCTGCAAGATGGACAGCAGCAGCGGCTGCAGCGAGAAGAGGTGGACAGCGTGCCCAGCCCAAGCCCGCAGCTCGGCGGGCGTGCAGCGCCCGCGCCGGAGGTGCTCCTTGGCCCCGAAGTGGAACCGCCAAACTCGACAGGGCGTGTGCCGGAGCGTCTTGTCGGACCCGTGGATCACGAGCCCAAGCGACTCGAGCTCGATGAGCGCGACCTCGGGCACGTGGAGCTTCAGCCCCGCGTCCGCGGCAGCTCTCTCGAAGCCCCTCACCCCGAAGACGGCGCCCTCCCTGCAGCAGCCCAGGCCCGTGAAGTTGTCCACGTACGCGGCGCTGACCGGACGCCCAGGCCGAAGGAGGGGGGCGGGGCGCTTGTCCTGGAGCAGCTGCTCGCTGCCCCCTGGGCATTCGCGCTCGGCCAGCGTGGTCGCGGCCTCCTGCGCGAAGTGGAGGGCCCGCGACCACCCCATGGGCAGCGCCCGCACAGGGTAGAGCAACTCTCCTGCCTGCACTGGGGTGGGCCCCTTGAGGTCGTCGTCGTAGACGCGGGAGATCTCCATGCCCCGCTCCTCCACGGTCAGCGGGCAGTCGAAGCCGAATCAGCTCGCGACGCCGCCCACCTCAAGCTGGTAGAAGCAGTCTTTCACATCCGCGCTCGACGCGTGGAGGTCGAGGGGCAACTCCAGCGCTCCGCCGAAGCCGCCGAGGGCCTCGGCGAGGGGGCTGAGGTCCAGCTCGCTCAGGGAGGCGGGGCCGCCGAGCACTGTCCGCGGGGGCCGTCTGTGGCAGAGGTTCGCCTGACGAGCATCGCAAATGAAACGAATGCGACCGTATTTCTTGTGCGCGAAAAAAGCTCCAAAGCGGCTCTTGATCGCCCTGCGGAATCCCACAGCTCCTGCCGCCGCCAGCCAGCGGACAAAATCACGACGAGCTGACCGATCTCCGCGGAGGGCGGGGTCCCAGTAAGGTGTCGGGAGCCCTCCGGCGGTCTGCAGCCGAGCCTCCAGCTCCAGCGCGGCCAGCCCCACCTGGCCCTCGAAGTGCCTCAGGTAGCCAGCAGCAGCCTCTGGGGGCATGGCCGACGCAGGGACAGGCCGCAGCGCGCCGGACGCGATATGCAGCTTGTCGGGGTCGTAGCTCGCCAGGTGCCGCGGCTCCAGCTCGCTCTGGTCGGCGGACTTGAGGATCGCCCGAAGGGGCCGCTCACCGTGCGTCGCTCCACGAGGGGGCTCGCCATAGCCAATGACCCCCGCAACCACGTGGGCCAGAGCACTCCTTTGGACCGCAGTCGGCGGCCCCCCGGCGGACGCACGCGATGAACCTTGCCATCGATCGAATTCGTCTTGGAAGCAGCGAGGTGGTTGAGGGCCTCAACCGTTTCTCTAACCCGCTCTTGCTTCTTGGCACTGTGGTGCCATCTGCGCACCGTGGACCTGGCTGCTCCCGTCGGCCGCTCCTCCTCATGTTGCATGGGGAGCGGGAACGGGTCGTTGTGGAGCCAGTGGCCGTCCAGCCACCAATACTTCTTTGGCAGCTCGCTGACTCCAGGACGGCGGTGCGCGCCAGACGCAGGCTCGGCCAAGCCCACCGCGCAGGCACCGCCACTGCGGGGGGTCATCCCCCCTCCCCCTTGGCGCCCACGGGGGGGGGCCCTCTCTTCACCTTCGCCTTCTGCTTGGCCCGTGAGCCGTCGCCCGTCTCGCCCTTGCCGTCGCCCTTCACGCTCCGCCGCTTCGTCGCCTCCTCCTGGTAGAGCCTCTGCTGCTTGAGGATCTGGGCGCGATCCTTCTGGCGGTTGGTGACGTGCTCGAGGTGCCGCGGCACGTGAGCCGAGCCGCTCACTGAGCGCGCCCCAGCCAGCACGTCCTCCAGCCCGCTGAAGCCCGGGTGCCGCGGGTTCTTCTCGGCGGCCATCTCGACCTGGATCGCCCGCCGCACGATGTGCTCGAAGCACGTCAGGTTGACCACGTTAAGCTGGTCGTGGCAGATCGCTCTGCGCAGCGTCTCGAGGTGGCAGCGATGCTCATGTCCCTGAGCTCCGTCACCCGCCACGCCGCTGAGCCGCTGCCGCTCCGCCTGGTAGGTCAGCAAGTTGCCAGCCCCCAGCGCGGTGCTCTTCAGGTACTCGAGGCACGACCACGGCCCTTGGTCGGGCCAGTCAGCGACGGTCACCTCCCGCATCGACTCGACGGCATCCCTGAAGTCGAGATCCCGCCGTCCCACGCGTGAGCGGTGGTCCCCCAGCCCTCGGATGTCCTCGACGTCCTCGCGGCATGACTGCACCCGGATGTCTCGCTCGCCTCGCGGGACCAGCTCCACAAAGCGCGGCTCCCCGTCGATCATGCAGACATCCCGATCGCCGAGTGAGACGCACCTGTCACCATCCTCGATGACGTCGGCCGGCACAGCCTCGCCGAAGCGCGCGTCCGTGACACTCGCCAGCAGCCGCACATACTCCTCGGCGTCCTCGGCCTCACCACCACCCAGGAGGGCAGCCCGACGCTGGGCCTGCCGCTTCGCGTCTCGCAGTGTCTGGCCGTCGATCGGATCGAAGGCGTACACCAGCGGCGCGAACTGGGCGGGGAAGGCCGACGACCGATCCAGCACATGATGCCACAAGGTCCCGAGATCCACCCTCGCAATCTCATGATCAGGCGTGAGCCCCAGCCACAGGGCGCCCTCGACCCGATGCAGCAGCACTCGGTGGTGCCATGACAGATCCTCGTCCGGGTAGTGCACCAGCACCTGGGCCTCGCGGATGTCGAGCGTCCTAGCAGCCATCCCGTCGCTGGGCCAGCGAGCTGGGCGTGGTGGCCACGACGGTCACAGCCGGCCCTGCGGGCGCTGTCGGCGCTGGGAGCGCGGCGGCCCTGGCGGAGCGCACCCCCGCCCCACGGGCCTAAGGGGCTGGCTCCCCGCCGCCGCTGCTGGCGCCGCTCGAGCACCCCCAAGCCGCGCCCGCGGCCTGGCGTGCACACCCCAGCAGGCTGGCCCCAGCGCAGCCCACGGCCAGCCCGGCCCCCGCCGAGCACAGGGCCACCGCTGCACTGGCCCAGAGCAGCGAGGTGGCCTGCCCCTCGGGGCAGTTGCAGTCGCCGCACTGCAGGCCTGGGCAGCTCGGCGGCGTCACCGATGGGCAGGAGACCGAGGGGCACGCGGGGCAGCTCGCCGCCAGCCACGATGTACGAAAGTGGAGGGCCGCGGGGAGGAGATCGCGAGCAAGCCCCAAGAGACCCACTGGAAGCATGCCCTCAGAAGCTTGAGCCAGAACAGATACGGTCGCATCTGTGCTGTGAACTGAAACGGTACGCTGAGAACGAGGGCCAAGAACACACATCTTAAATATCACAAGTCTCCTTTGGATTTTGAAGTGTTTTGGTATTTGCGCCTTTTCGGCTTTCCGACGGCCCAAGACGGCCCAAGAGGTCCCCGATGTCGCCCCAAGATCGCCCAAGAGGCCTCCAAGATGGCCCCATGACGGCCCAAGAGGCCCCCAAGACGGCCCCAAGAGGCATCCAAGACGGGCCAAGAGGCATCCAAGACGGCCCCGAAGCGCCCCAAGAGGGCCCCAAGTCGGCCCAGAGAGGCCCCCAAGACGGCTCCCGACGGCGTCAGACGTGCCAGGAGCCCACCAAGACGGTCGAAGATGGCCTTAAGATGGCCCAAGACGGCCCAAGAGGCCTCCAAGAGGGCCTCCAGGAAGGCCCGAAAAGGCCAACCTCATTGATTTCCCATGGGTTTTTGAAGGATTGTGGCATTTGCTTCTTTTCGGCCTTCCGACGGCCCGAGACGGCCCAAGTGCCGCCAAATATCGCCCAAGACGGCCCCAAGAGGCCCCCAAGACGGCCCAAGAGGCCTCCAAAACGCTCAAGATGACCTCCAAGACGGCCCAAGAGTCCTCCAAGACGTCCTCCAAGAAGGCCCGGAAGGGTCACAATGGCCTCCAGACGGCCAAGATGACCTTCACGATGCTCACGTGTTTCCCGAAGGCTTTCCAAACCGATTCGGGGAACACATGGCCGATAGCTTGGCAGGTCTGGCCTCAACGTTCGGCCACATAGGCGCTTCCAAAAAGGCAGGGGGCGGCGGTGATTCGCCGTAGGCGTCTTCGATCCAACGCCCCCTGTCGATTCATCGCAGGGGTGCCTGGCGTGCCAAATTATTTCGGTTTTGGTTTTGGTTCTTTTTCCAAAAAGAACTCCCCCTGCGGCTTCGACCCGTCCCGCCAGGGTCCCGAGGATTACCCAAGACCAGAAACGACGTCAACGTCCGCAAAACATTCTCCAAGACGGCTCAAGATGGCCTCCAAGACGGCCAAGATGGCCCTCAAGCTCGCCCAAGATGGTCCACGATGGATTCCCAGACGGCCCAAGAGGGTCCAAGATACCTCCAAGTTCGCCCAAGAAGTCTCCAAGACGGCCCAAGGCGGTCTCAGAGGCCTCCAAGAGGTCCTACAGGAGGGCCCGAATATGCCAAACTCGTTGATGCTCCTTAGGGTTTTGAGAAACTTTGGCATTTGCTTCTTCTCGGCATTCCGATGGCTCAAGACGGCCCAAGAGGACCCCAAGATCGCCACAAAATTGCCCACGAGGCCTCCAAGAGGGCACCATGATAGCCCAACCAAGACGGCCCCAAGAGGGCCCCAAGACGGGCCAGGAGGCATCCAAGACGCCCAAGATGGCCTCCAAGACGGCCCTGGAGCACCCCAAGAAGGCCCCCAAGGCGACCCAGGGAGGCCCACCAACCGGCTCCCGACGGCGCCAGACGGGCCAGGAACGCACCAGGACGAGCCCGAAGTTGGCTCTAGGCTAGCCCAAGACGACCCAAGAGCCCTCCGTGAGGGCCCCCAGGAGGGCTCAAAGAGGCCAGAAGCATTGGTGTTCCTTAGGCTTTTGACAGATTTGGGCAGTTGCTTCTTTTCGGCCTTCCGACGGCCCGAGACGGCCTAAGAGCCCCCAAAGATCGCCCAAGAGGCCTCCAAGATGGCCCCAGAACGGCCCAAGAGGCCCCCAAGACGGCCCCAAGAGGCCCCCAAGACGGCCAAGGAGGCCTTTAAGACGCCCAAGACGGCCTCCAAGACGGCCCTGGAGCATTCCAAGAAGGCCACAGGTCGGCCCAGAGAGGCCCCCACAACGGCCGGCTTCCGACGGCATCAGACGGGCCAGGAGCCCACCAAGACGGCCGAAGATGGCCCTAAGATGACCCAAGATGGTCCAAGAGGCCTCCAAGAGGGCCTCCAGGAAGACCAGAAAAGGGCCAAATCATTGATTTCCCAAGAGTTGTTGCGTTTTTCGGCCTTCCTACGGCCCGAGACGGCCCAAGAGCCCCCAAAGATCGCCCAAGAGGTCTCCACTATGGCCCCAGAACGGCCCAAGAGGCCCCCAAGACGGCCCGAAGAGGCCCCCAAGACGGCCCAAGAGGCCTCTAAGACGCTCAAGATGGCCTCCAAGACGGCCCTGGAGCATTCCAAGAAGGCCCCAAGTCGGCCCAGCTTCGCCCACCGTGTTCCCCGAAGGCTTCCCAAACCGATTCGGGGAACACATGGTCCGATAGCTTGGCAGGTCTGGCCTCAACGTTCGGCCACATACGCGTTTCCAAAAAGGCAGGGGGCGGCGGTGACTCGCCGTAGGTGTTTTCGATCCGCCGCCCCCTGTTGATTCATCACAGGGGTGCGTGGCGTGCTAAATTATTTCGGTTTTGGTTTTGGTTCTTTTTCCAAGAAGAACTCCCCCTGGGGCTCCGGCGCGTTCCGCCGGCCACCTGGAAGACCCGGTTGCAAAGTGTTGTCCTGCCCTAGACGGCCCCAAGAAGGCCCAAGATGGCTTCCAAGACAGCTAAGATGGCCCCAATATGCCTCCAAGACGGCCCAAGACGCACCCAAGACGGCCTGAGATAGCCTCAAGATGGCCTGAGACGGCCCAAAACGTCCAACGGCCCGAGACGGCCCAAGTGCCCCCAAAGATCGCCCAAGAGGCCCAAGACGGCCCCAAGAGACCCCCAAGACGGCCCAAGAGGCCTCCAAGACGCTCAAGATGGCCTCCAAGACGGCCCAAGAGCCCTCCAAGACGTCCTCCAAGAAGGCCCGAAAGGGTCAAAATGGCCTCCCGACGGCCAAGATGACCTTCAAGATGCCCGCGTGTTCCCCGAAGGCTTTCCAAACCGATTCGGGGAACACATGGTCCGATAGCTTGGCAGGTCTGGCCTCAACGTTCGGCCACATAGGCGCTTCCAAAAAGGCAGGGGGCGGCGGTGATTCGCCGTAGGCGTCTTCGATCCGCCGCCCCCTGCTGCTTGCACGAGGGGTGCCTGGCGTTCTAGTCGATTTCGGTTTTGGTTTGGGCTCTTTTCCATACGAGAACTCTCCCTGGGGCTTCGGCCCGTCCCGCCGGGGTGCCTGGAGGATTGCCCAGGAGCTCACTCCCGCAAAAACAATCCTCCAAGACGGCTCAACATGGCCTCCAAGGTGGCCACGTCGGCCCAAGATGGCCTCCAAGATGGCCTCCAAGCTCGTCAAAGAGAGGAGGAGATGCCTCCAGGTTCGCCCAAGAAACCTCCAAGACGGCCCAAGACGGCCCAAGAGGTGCCCAAGAGGCCTCTGAGACGGCCCAAGAGGCCCAAGAGGCCTCCAAGAGGTCCTCCAAGAGGGCCCGAAGAGGTCAACATCATTGATGTTCCCTAGGTGTTTAAAAAGGTTGTTCGTATTTGCTCCGTTTCGGCTTTCCAACGAGCCAGGACGGCCCAAGAGGCCCCCAAGATCGCCCCCACAGCGCCCACGAGGCCTCCACGATGGCCTCAGGACTGCCCAAGAGGCCCCCAAGACGGCTCCAAGAGGGCACAAAGACGACCCAAGAGGCCTCCAAGACGCCCAAGATGGCCCCTAAGGCTGGCCTGGAGCACCCCAGGAAGGCCCCAAGTCGGCCCCGAGGGGCCCCCCAAACGGCTTCCGACGGCGTAGCTGGCCCAAGACGGCTCAAGAGGCCTCCAAGAGGGCCTCCAGAAAGGCCAGAAAAGTCCAACAACATTGATGTTCCTTTGGTTTTTGAAAGATTTTGACATTTGCGCCTTTTCGGCCATCCGAAGGCCCGATACGGCCCAAGAGCTCCGAAAGATCACCCAAACATCGCTCACAAGGCCTCCAAGACGGCCCCAGAACGGCCCAAAAGGCCCCCAAGACGGCCCCAAGAGGCCCTCAAGACGGCCCAGGAGGCTTTTAAGACGCCCAAGACGGCCTCCAAGACGGTCCTGGAGCATTCCAAGAGGGCCCCAAGTCGGCCCCGAGGGCCCCCCAAACGGCTTCCGACGGCGTAGCTGGCCCAAGACGGCTCAAGAGGCCTCCAAGAGGGCCTCCAGAAAGGCCAGAAAAGTCCAACAACATTGATGTTCCTTTGGTTTTTGAAAGATTTTGACATTTGCGCCTTTTCGGCCATCCGAAGGCCCGATACGGCCCAAGAGCTCCCAAAGATCACCCAAACATCGCTCACAAGGCCTCCAAGACGGCCCCAGAACGGCCCAAAAGGCCCCCAAGACGGCCCCAAGAGGCCCTCAAGACGGCCCAGGAGGCTTTTAAGACGCCCAAGACGGCCTCCAAGACGGTCCTGGAGCATTCCAAGAGGGCCCCAAGTCGGCCCAGAGGGGCCCCCCAAACGGCTTCCGACGGCGTCGGACGGGCCAGGAGCCCACCAAGACGGCCGAAATGATTTAAGATGGCCCAAGACGGCCCAAGAGGCCTCCAAGAGGGCCTCCAGGAAGGGCCGAAAAGGCCAAACTCATGGATGTCCCAT